TTTAGGGTTTTAGGGTTTAAAAGTTTTAGGATTTAGGGTTTAGGGTTTACTTGGAGGGTCCGGGGGGCTTAGTAACTAGTTATTTTATAGACTTATGAGTACCATAACCCCAATTAGGATCCCTTTTAGTGTACTTATAACTCTACTTAATATCTACCTACTAAGTCCCCCGACCCTCCAAGTACGTCATAAGTGGCTCAATAATATGGTTTAAGGCGTGGCTCCTTAATAATTAGAGTACAGTGCTGGGGCCCACTATATTGTACTTATAATATGGAAGCCCTTAAAAAAGCATTTGTAATTAGTTGCGCCTATATTAGGGTTTGTGGGGTCTGGGAGTTTAGGGTTTTCGGGTTTAGGGTTTGCGGGTTTAGGGTTGGGGTTTGGGATTTTGGAGTTTAAGGTTTGGGGTTCGGGGTTTAGGGCTTGGGGCTTTGGGTTTCAGGCTTTGTATTAGGGTTTGGATTGGACTGTTGGCGAAGCCCGTCGCAGTGCATCGCAAGAACATGTGCAATCTCATGCAAGGAGGGACGAGATTTGCTTCTGCATTTCTGTCTCCGCCTCGAAGGTACCCTAAACCCTAAACCGAAAGACTAAACACTTCCCTTAATCCTGAAACCTCAATCCGAAGACCTTCCAACTTCCCAAGCGAACCCTAAACCCTTTTTCAGAGAGCCCCATACCCATACCGCCCCTAAATTACCCTAAACCCTAAAAACTGGTAACCCTAGTGACCCAGGGGAACCCGAGTACCTCTCCACCAAGCCCCTAGACCCTAAACCCCTAAACCTCTGAACCTCTAACCCCTAAACCCTAGACCCTAAACCCTAAGCCTCTAAACCTCTAAACCCGAAACCCCTAAACCCTAAACCTCTAAACCCTAAACCCCTAAACCCCTAAACCCCTAAACCCTAAACCTCTAAACCTCTAAACCTCTAAAACCGAAACCCTTAAACCCTAAACCCTAAACCCTTACTCCGAGGATCGGCCTCTTCTTTGAGGACTGCCCAGCCAAAGAGGAGGCCGGCGAGGGACCTGGTGTGATCTTTCTCGCCCCCGAAAGGCTTTAGGGGTTTTTAGGGGTTTGGAGTGTAGGGTGTTTAAGGGTTTAGGGGTGTATGGGGTTTATGGGTTTAGGGTTTAGGGTTTAGGGGTTTAGGGTTTAGGGGTTCAGGGTTCTGGGGTTTAGGGTTTAGGTCTTTGGGGTTTAGGGGTTTGGGGTTTAGGTCTTAGGGGTTTAGGGTTCAGGGTTTGTTTAGGATGTCCCGACACCCCCGGCAAACACCAGCAATCTCAGTGGCTGAAGACAGGTAGAAATCCCAGGCTCGGATCCCTTGAACCGTGAACTCATAGGGACCCTTTGGGGGTACATGGAGGTCGGGGGACTTAGTAAGTAGATATTAAGTACAACTATAGGTGCTGTACCCTAAAAGGGATCCCCAATTGGGGTTGTGATACTTATAAGCCTATGAAATCACTAGTTACTAAGTCCCCCGACCCTCCAAGTAAGGGGAGGGGGGTATAGGGGGCCGTAATGCCAGTAATAAGGACCCAATGAGGCGTATTTCTTGAAGTACAGTCCCCAAATTACGTAAGGGTCCCGATGCAAAAACCTGGATCATGTTGGTTGAGTCTTCGGCAATCCAGAAATCTGAAGACGAAGAGAGCTGCTCGTCAAACCCGGCCGACTTGCGTTGGGGCCCTGATGTCAACTATCTCCTGAAACGGTGGTCTAGGGTTTAGAGCTTCGGGCAATCTCCTGAAACAGTGTGAATGCCAGGCTGATTATATCCCCAGCTGCAAAGCACCGACGTTGTCCCATCTACCTGGGACCTCTGACTGCCTTGTGCCACACGAGGACTATGACGCTCCGCACGTGGACACTGAAGCGCTGAAGGCCGTTGGGTTTCTTCGGGTTTGGGGTGCTAGTAGTTATGAGTTTTTGGGCTTCAAGGGGCTTGAGCACATGCCCTAAGCCTCAAAACCCTTATGATACGCTTATGGTATCCCGAACGCCAATCCGTTTCCAACTTGCTTCTCCGGTTTTGTGTGCATCAACCAAAACCCTAAACCCTAAACCCGTGAAGTGCTGAGGCAAAGGTCTCGGATCTCCGTGGGAAGGTCACCGCACAGGCAGAGGAGCGCGGTGATGAAGTAGGCACTGTGTTCGTGCACGTGCTACGTAGACCCTAAGCCCTAAACCCTAAACCCCTACACTCCAGACTCTGAGCAAGTCGAGGTTGGATTCAGGGCTTTCAGGTGAGAACTGATTGCCAAGTCTCTCTCCCCAAGATACATCATATGCTATATCTGGCCTAATATAGGGGCCTGATTATTAATTAGAACGAGGTTTTGGGGTATATTATACTATAATTACAACAAGAAACCCCCAAAACCCTATTCTAATGATTAAGGCCCCTACATTACGCGCATCACACTATTAGTAGGACAAACATGTCGACATGAAGAGCCTTCGAAGGCCAAGCCCAACTGGTCATAGTACAAGGGGTTAGGGTTTAGCGTTTAGGGTTTAGGGTTTAGGGTTTATGTAGTATACTACAGTACACATACAGCCGTGTAGTAATCATTGTCAAACAAGGCAAATACAGCAAACATATTTTGTAAAATAGTTTACGCCGAAAATGACATAATATGGTATAATGTGCTATAGTAAAGTTTTGCATATCATAGTATCAAAACACATAGCGTTGACACGAACATCATGCCAGAGTCTTGGGTGGTCATTGGTGAGATCTCTAAACCCTAAAACCCTCAACCCTTAGACCCCTAAACCCCTAAACCCGAAACCCTAAACCCTTTTGAGATTTAGGGAACTACCAATTAGTGAGATCTCCTTGCGCGGTGCTTTTGACCAGAGCTCCCCTGTTTTGAAGCTGTGCTTAGCATTTAGGGTTTAGGGTTTAGGGTTTAGGGTTTAGGGTTTAGGGTTCAGGGTGTAGGGTTTAGGGTTTAGCCTAAATTAGGGTTTAGAGGATTACCCAATAGTTTGGCAACGGAGGTTTGCTTTATGGTTTGTGAATTTGGACGGCTTCCTATTACGGTGTGTGCTTTAGGTCTCCCTTTGGCAGCCCTGAGTGCGAAGGAGCTTTCAGGCAAGGTTTCTGGCCATTTCGAGGACGGGTGTCGGCAGTCCTGCTTTGCAACGTCTTCTTTGCAACGTTTGGAAGACCTGAAACCCTAAACCCTACTTGGAGGGTCGGGGGGCTTACTAACTAGTCATTTTACAGACTTATAATTACCATAACCCAAATTAGGATCCCTTTTAGGGTACTTCTAACTCTACTTAATATCTACTTACTAAGTCCCCCGACCCTCCAAGTAATTACTCTAAACCCTAAACCCTAAACCCTGAACCTAAACCGTCTGGCAGGTTGCTTGAGTAGCCAAGGCCCAGCCGCTGATCTTTTCAATTTGGAGCTTATACCGCACCCTGGCCCTGCATGTTCTCAGAGAGCCCAATAGCCCTTAATAAAGGAATATATATTATATATATATATATATCTCTCTCTCTCTCTCTCTATCTATCTATCTTAAATTTGAAGGGGCTTAATATTATGGTTTAAGGTATATTCCTTAGTTAAGGGGTATTGGGCACTCTGGGTTCTCAACATCATAGCAACCATTTGGGTGGCTCTCTAAATTAAGGTCCCCTTTGGGGTCCCCAATATGGTACGGCACCCTTTTCAAAAGGACCCTAAAAGGGACCCTAGTTTAGAGAACTACCCATTTACAGTCGCCGTGCTGGGAGCGAACACTTCTTATGGCCTTGATGGTTCTCGTACGGTTGATGATCACCCATAAGATGGAATGTACCATACTTCCCATGGTTTAGGGTCCTTAGGGTAATGTAGGAATTTATACCATCAACTGAAGGTCAAGGTTTTTCAGTAGCTGTTCTCGTTTGCGGCTGACTTCCAACTTTTGGCAAGTCGAGACAACATAACCACGGGGCAGGGGCCAGTTTCATGGGACCGTGAAGAACCGAGGTGCAACTGGATAACCGCTTTCTGCGTCCCAGGTGTCTCAACGTAGTTTCTCAGAGATTTGTCACAGTATCGCAGGGCCTGGGGTTCTCCATCACAGTATAGCAGGACGTGGAGTTCCCACGGAGAACTTGGCTGTCCCAATACCCAAGACCCACTTACATGACTCAGCTTTCACTGACGTTGCGGGAACAAGCATACAGAAAGACGCAGCTTCACAGCGCAGGACCTTTCCGGCAAGGTGAGCGGACAGTTTGAGGACGACTTGCCACCCACCCGGAAGCTCGAAATCAGGCGGTTTGTGTTCAGGGTTCAGGGCCAGACGTTGCACCAGGATTTTATAGGTGTTTCTCAAGCCTCTTTTTCGCACGTGAGCGTGATCCATGGTGAGTCTCCCCAGGGATCCAGCCGGAGGATTTTCAGGTTTCCCATGTTAGCGTAAAGCCCGCTGTGCAAGCCTTGTTACTTGCAGGACTTGAAGGGAAAGATGTCTGGAAATCTGGAGGACCTTTTCTCTTTTGGGCTGGGGTCTCGTTGGCTTTTCCGACACCCAGCACTCTCGCAAGAGGTGGGTTTGCAGAAATCGATGATCTTGTGGCAGACTGCCTTTGTGGCATTCGTCGAAATCTCACCCGGAAGGACCTGAAGGGAAAGATGTCCGGAACTTTCGATCGCTTCCTGAAGAAGGAGGAGTGGACTGTCCTTGGGTACTTTAGAGGCCTTGATACTTAGCCATACTATTTTGGGGGGCTCCTTATTATAATTTTAGTATAGTATACACCCAAACCCTATTCTAATTATCAAGGCTCCTACATTAGGTTTCAGGGTTCAGGAGTTTTGGGTTTAGGGTTTCAGGGTTCTGGGGTCTTTGGTTCAGGGAGGTTCCTCCCCTCCTGCTGCTTGCCATGAAACCGTGGAGAGAAGTAGACTTGAATTGAACAGGCAGACAACGACAAGTGACAGTATACGTTCCACCGCCCACTTCACTTTCTGCAAAAGCCATGTGTGTACTCGCTTCATCACTCCTCGTAGTGGTTCGCGTATGCAGTTCTTTAGATTCAGCTCCAGATTCAAACACCTCCATAGAGTCCCTAAGGCAAGTAACTTGCGCAAGTCTACTTCAGATGAGATTGTCTTACTCTAGGGGTACCTTATTTCAGGTTCCGCAATCTATATCAAGGTGCCCAAGTTGCTGAAGCTCCCTTTCTGGAGGGCTGAAGTGACCGGTTTATGCTATCGAACGCGCTGGCAGCGCAACGGCTTGGATTCGATGCAGCTGCCGTTCAAGGAAGCCCGCGCGGATCTAGAGGCGAAACACAAGCAGAAGAATCTCCCGAAGATCACAGCCAGCATGATGTTCAACCCAAAACCATAGCAAAAAAAGGGCTGAACCTAAACGGTTGCTCTGCAGGATCCCTCTGGCCCGTCTGGCGAGGGTGGTTCAAGCAGCTGAGCCCCTCGAAGAACAAAAGAGCAGGGTTTAGGGTTTTTTAGGTTTGGGGTTTGGGTTCAGAAGAAGCTTCCCTAAACCCTAAACCCTAAACCACGGACCTCGAGAGCATGGCAAGCTTTGGTGAGCAGCCCACCTCACTCTGCGATTCCGAATACTGAGAGGGGACATTTGGAAAAGGGTTTCTTCGCTCAGTAGCTGAGTGGATACACTTTACATTTTTTTGGATAATATTACCTACTATAAAGCTGAAAGTGTACACTTTTCTGGGCTTATGAACTCAGCAACTAAGTTCGAGTTCTCTGCAGATACCTTGAGCAAGGTTGCTCCGGCACCGTTGATAGTATAGGATATTGCATTAAGTTCCATTCTAGTATATTATCAAAGCACCTCTTGCTTGCTCATTCCTCTGCAAAACTCGTGCGATTCAGCCTCAAGGTTGGTTATACACAAGCGGCCGAGGCCTTTCACGTCCTCAGCTTCTGATAGCCCGTGGCGTCTCTGAAGGACCCTTCCATCGAAAGCCTCTGTTGAGTAGGTCCTGTGGTCTGTGAGATCAGACAGAGCCAGGGAAAGCTGTGACGCAGCGCCGCGAATGAAAATGTACACGGCATGGGTGGACAGCATTGCTTGTAGATTGCATGTCTGCTTCGAAGAGAACTGAAACATTGCGTTATCGTTTGCCTCTGTGCTTCTCTGTGTGCAGCTTATTGGTCGATTGCTTCCTCTAGTCTTCCATATCCCTGTCGAAATCGAGGATTTCTGGGGTTTTGGGAAGGGGAACGGCCACACTTCCGAGAGTATCAGGATTCAGGGTCGAGTTCGAGCTGCAGCACAAGGGCAGTCACGGTTTAGGCTTTCGGGTTTAGGGGTTAGGGGACTTAGGGTTTAGGGTTTAGGGGGTCATGTGGTAGCCCTGTGTTACACATGTTCGCAGATCGCAGAATCTGCCGCCAAACTGTGGATGCATGCAGCCAATGGAACTGCAAGGTGATGAGCGTAGCTTGTGTCTAGTTAGGTTGGACCTGTTGACCCAAAACGGGTTGCCATGGCACGGACAAGATCTAATTGCCCCTCGGATTGACAAGGCCTCCATGATGAACCCAAATCCTGAACACTGAACTCCAACCCAAACCCTAAACCTAAACCCGTAAAGTCCCCTAAAGTCTCAGATCAAAACCCTACAAGCCCCTCAACTTGCCCTAGAGTCCCCTAAAGTCCTCCATCCAAACCCTAGACCCTCGGTTTTGTTGCATGTGCTAGGCTCCCCACTCCGATCTGTTGCTTCCATGCCTGAAGTGGCATCTGCAGAAAGCCCGGTTTGGGGTTTATTTCGGGTTTCTTCCGGTTTGTGAATAGGGTTTTTGGGGGTTGGGCTTCAGGGCGTAGGGGTTTAGGGTATTGAGGTTTAGGGTTTGGGTTTTAGGGGGTGAGCTCGCTCGGTCAACTTGCCCGTGCACATTTCATGGTCGAGCTGCAGTCTGTCGGCGTTTTGAGCCACTACAACCCTAAACCCCTAAACCCTAAACCCGTTTGGTGTTGCAGAAAACTTGTAGATACCTTTGCAAGAATCCCCTGAAGGAAGTTTATTCTAACTGTCTCTTGACTCCTCTGCATCACTGCTAGAGGAAACAGACTCAAGATCCGGACTTCATAGCTGTTCTTCTGGACCTCAAGAAGATGGCCTGAACACTCATAGGCTCTAGGGTTTAGCAGGGTTTCCGTTATATATTATGGTGTAGTTATCTGGGGACTCGGAGGGGATCTTATCAAAACTCCCTCCCAGTGAGCCCCCGACCCCTTTGCAAGGCATCTATCTCAAAACATAATGTAGGGGCCTTAATAATTGGAATAGGGTTTTGGGGGTTCCTTATTACAGTTATTAAGTTATGGTTGAGTCGGCCCGAAAACCCGATTCTAATTATTACAGCCCTTCCATTAATGTGAAGCCCCTCGTAATTTAAGCCTAAACCCTGAACCCTGAACCCTAAACCCTAAGCCCTAAACCCTAAGCCTAAGGTCTAGTCCTCAAAAATATTGGGCTCTCTGGGCCTCACCCTCAAAGAGTTGAGGGCTCTCGGCTTCAGGTTTGAGGAGGGCTTGGTTTATCTATCTGTTTATCTACCGATCGATCTTTCTATCTACCTATCTATCTATCTATCGATCTTTCTGTCTACCTAAATATCTATCTATCTATCTATCTGTCTGTCTGTCTGCTTATCGGTCTTTCTATCTACTTAACTATCTATCTATCTATCTATCTATCTGTCTATCTATCTATGCATGCTAGTGTCGTTTTGTCGGGACTACAAGAGGGAAATTATCGAAACTCCTCTGCACCCCGAAGTTCTGCCCTAAATCCTAAACCCTTAGTCCCTAAACCCCTAAACCCCCCTAAACCCCAGAATCCCAAAGCCCTACACCCCTAAACCCCTAAACCCCTAAACCCTAAACCCCTAAACCCTAAACCCTACACCCTAAACCCTCTAAGGCCAAGGCCGAAGACGTGCATGGCGAGGATGCAGGCTTGCGGCGGCAGCCGGCGCCATTGTCGCTTCGGGGATCCTTGGCCAACTCTAGACTTCAGGGCTTCGGGTTTAGGGGTTCTGGGTTTAGGGTTTAGGGTTTTGGTTTAGGGTTTAGGGGTTTAGGGTTTTGGTTTAGGGTTTAGTGGTTTAGGGTTTAGTGGTTTAGGGTTTAGTGGTTTAGGGTTTTGGTTTAGGGTT